AGACATGTTTCTATCGCTTATCACCTTAGAAGGTGATAAGCGGTTGGCTTGTTAGTATCAGAACTTCTATATGAAGTGAGTCACTATAAAGAGATGCAAAAACAACCTCAAAAAGATGCAAAACCACCACAGAGACACAAAACTCAATAGTTATCTTATAGAAAGTCATGTTTAAATGTCCAGGCAATGCTTAAAAATGACTAATTTTAAGTCTAATAGCTGAATAAACGAATTTAAATGGTTTTACCCTCCATTATCTCTGGTTATAACTCTATAAAGGAGGTGGAAGACCTACGAGGACTGTGGAGGGATTTTTTTTGGCAGGTGTTACTTGAAATCTAGAAGGTTGATGGGAAATGTTTCATAATTTTATGTACTTCACAGGCTGCTGCAGAGCGGCATTAGCGAAAGTGAATTACAGCCTTCTGTGTGACTTAATAGAGGCAGAAGAAGGGAGGGAGAGAAAGCTGAGGAGGAGAATGGCGGAGTGGATAACAGAGGCGTATTTCCTCTCATTCACAGCAGTGGAGTAGTAGAGCAGGTGGCTTCAGCTTCCTTTCTGGCCCTTTTGGCAGGAATTTATTAGATTGTTTTGTTGGCAATCGTGGATTGTAAACTTAAGTGTTTGCAAACTATCATCTCCATCTGCTGCAGTTAAAAGTCTGTAATCTTTGCGTCAGACTGCTTCATATGCTGCAGTCTGTCTGCTGTTTGTCCGTGATGTCCCAGGACTAAACATCACGCCTGTGTTATATCCTCAGACAGGATTTTTGTTATTCTAATGAACTTGGAAATGAACTCTCATCATTAAATTCAGTCTTAAGAGTAGTTGTTGAACTCAGGTGCTTCCAGGGAGGATTAGACAGCTTATTTTTCTTTGAGAGAAATGTCGTCATATATGTACCTCCAAAATGTCAACTTTTTGTTAAGTACTGCTCAGGCCTCTAATTAGGATGCGTCCTAGACGCATTCCTGGAGACCGCAGGGTAGACCCCGAACACGCTGGATTGATTATATCTCCTCTGGTTTGGGGACTACTCAGGATCCCCCAGGAGGAGCTGGGAAATGCGGTATTAGAGAGGTTCAAGGTTACTTTATTTGTACCCACAGGTAGATACAGTTTGCAGTAAAAGACAAGGCATCCTGACAAAAACATAAAAACAACAAATAATAAACATAATCCAGACATGATAAATGTTAAAGATAAAAGATAAAAGTGCTCCAGGCTCTAAAAATCAGTCTTACAAAGAGAGACCAATAAAAAAAAAAAAACACTAGAATAAATAAGCTCAAAATGTAGGTAAAAAACTCTGTGCCATGTTACTACAACTTATTAATCTGAATGAGCACTGCTGGAACAAAGCTCTTGGGACCATGAACCTCCGTCCAGAAGGAAGCGGCTGAAATGAATCAGTCAATCAGCGAGAGCCCCGCATCAGCATCAGAAAATGGACGGATGGAAGAAAAACTGCCTTAATATAAAGCTTTGTGACAATGTATTTTTAAGAAGTTTTGTTTTGTCAAAGCAAAAATGATCATTTATTGTAATGTGTAAGTTTTATCTGAAGGTTTAAGGTTGTATTAAATGTCCAGTGTATCATTTTATAATGATACCAAATGGAGAAAAGCAGAAAGAATACACACATTTAAGGAGATGGTACGAGCAAACGTTTGGCATTTTTGCTTGAAAAGTGACTCAAATGAAAGATCAAACTGCGATTAACTAATTGATTATTGACAGCTCGGGTTTACTTGGTAACATTTTGAAAGAACGGAGTCTTAAATGACCAAAAGCATACCAACTGAATTAGGAGTGTAGCTGACCAAAAGTTGTGTACTGTACGTATTTTACTCATCAAAATACTGCAGTATGCAGAAGTTTAAACTGTGATATACTTTTCCCTGCACTTGTTATGAAGAATTGTGTTGTGGAACTGTCTTTAGTGGACAGTTTCTTTATTAAGATGGGAGACAGAATCAATATCTCATTGAGTCTCAGCAGGAGTGAAGCAGGCCTGATCTACGGAGTCCTGGATCCGCATCTCCTCCCATCCCGAGAACAGCCTCTCAGGGAGGAGAGGAAGTTCCTCGAGCTGGCGGTCCAGCTCGCTTGTCTCAGTGGCTCGATGCTTATTGGATTGCGTGCCCATTCCCACAGCTCCAGCAGGTCAAATGACTGGGATGTGTGTAGCTCACGGCCGCTAAGTGGTCTATCGATCAGACAGCTGAGCCTGTGGGCTGATGGGATGTGCTGCAGCAGACAGAGCCAGGAGTTGGCAGGCTGCTAATGGGTACAAAATGCATTCCTGCACAGATTAGAACCGCTGCCTTGGCTGACAGACACAGTTCATTACAGACAAAGTAGAAAATCAAATGTACAGTATAATTCAAGTTAATGGGGAGTTCTGCACACAGTTTATACATGTGAATTTTACTGTTCAGATATCTTCAAATGGTCTCTGAAATTTGGAAATATCGCTCTGTTTTCATATTTATATTTGCCTGTGAGGTCCACCAAAGGTAAGAGAGGAAATTTAAAATAAGAGAGAATGTTTTTATAATATATTTTTTCTTGCACTTTGAGAACATCTGTCAGCAACTTTGTACCAAAACCACAGATCTAATTAACTTCTGTCCCCTTACAGCATTAAATGATACAAAGTCCAATTACCTAATTTATGATATCATTAAAATGTGCAGCTGCTCTGTGTGAAAATAAGTGAGCTTTAGTCCAGTTGTCATATAGTTTTGTCAAAATGCATCAATATCCAGCAAGTCTCAACATAAGACTATTATTGTTACATTAGGAAAATTACGTTTATTATTATATCACAAATGCATGAAACACTGACCAAACTGAGACAACGATAAATCTTTGCAGGCACAAAGGGATTTATTCAAATACAGTAACCAGAAAAACATTAGAGCTGGAGTCTCAAACTGCCGAACCAGGGGCCATTTAAGGCCCTCCATCCCCCTCCTACCAGCGAACAACAAAGATGATAGAAAATGATTATTTAAATATGTACAGAAACTGCTGTTTGCATTTTTTTGTTAAGTATATGTTAGTGATATATTTTAGAATACTTGTAGTACTTCAACATTGAAGTGGCAATACCAGCAATGGCCACAGGCCAATTTAAGTCTGAGACCCCTGCATTAGAGAATGCTGAAACTTTACCAGTTTAATTCACACAGAGAGTTAAATAGCTCACACGTTGCAGCTTGAGCCAGACTTTCTGAATGCACGCAAACACCACGTTCTGTCTTTCTGTGACTGTTTGTGTTATTTCACTCACAGACAGATGAGTGTGAAAATCCAGCCTGGCAACTGGCAGTGATATTAAGCTACAGATTAGGATGCTACACAGTAAACACACACAGGTTTACTATAAGCAAATATAAATGCACACACCACATGTGCATCTGATTTGTCTAATTCATCCTGTATGCCAGTCACAGTGTGTTCCAGTGACCCAGTGCCCAAGATTAAGGCCTGCAAAGCCAGATTTAGCCTCTGAGCAAACCAAATCCCAGCTTTTAAGAGCCTGCGAGGAGCAGCCTCCTGGAGTGTAATGCCACAGCAACACGCTGCCAGCCAAGTTTTACACAAACACCAACATAAAACTTCTGAGGCCTTCAAACACCTCGTCACTCAGGGTGACAAAGTGCTGCACAGCAGGCAGGGAGATGGAGTATTTCTAGGTAAAATGCAGACAACCCCACCTCAAGGAATGATCTTATTAACTCTGTGATTCATGTGGTCATTCATTTAAAAAGCCTCGTGCTGCTGTGATCTGCATAATGAACTGCGCCAACACCATTATTCAGTTTAAATGAGAGTGGTGGTGTTTGCAAAAGCAATTCAGCAAATGAAATGTGGAACTCTGCATATGCAGATTTTCAAACATACTGAATTCAATAACAGCCACTGTTTTATCACATTTTGGTAGATATATAAACAGATGAAGAAATCATGTATGCAGACATGCAATTATGAAAGATGTCCTCAATCTGAAAGAGGTGAATAAAAGGACACAGGCCTGTTTTGTTGTAAACAAACAAAAGTTATGTTTGTATTCAGTGTTACTCACCTAAACAGTGTAATCCTTGAGGTCTAATAAATGCATTGAAATGAAAGATTGATGAACGATTTAAGGCTGAAGAATTTCAATCCAGCATTGTTTACATCCATGCTCAGCTTGCAGTCTTCTTCTTCCCTGACTGGTGTATTTTGATGTGTTAGCACCACCTGTTGATCAGTGTAATAGTATGATACTAATTGTAGGACTAATTAAGTGTTTAACGGATAAATAAAACACAATTAAAACTGCTTGATAGCACTAGAGATCAAAAATTCCACAGGAAACCTTTAATCCTGGCCACTGACTTTATTTCCTCATTGTTTGAGGTCCCAAAGACTCAACTGTTGTATATGAAAGATCTAAATTAATAATAATTGCTAAATCTACCATTTTGAAGGAAAAAAAATACATAAATTATAGTAATTTCAAAGTTTGAGGTCAATAAGACACCAACGAGGTCAGACCCTACGAACATACTATTAAAACACTCTAATGACAGAAAGGCATTGTATTTAACCAGTTGTTATATGTATCGAGCTGATAAAACAATGTTCATTATGTTTTTGAGCTGTTAAAAACAAGGACATGAAGCTACACATAATGGTAGAGGAACTCCCCTGAGTCCTTTAGTTTCTGCAGCTGCTGGGCAGACATATTAGTCCGGCAGAACTAAGTTATACAGTCTGCAATGAGTCAGTGAAGGATCTATGGCCACTTTTAACTCTTCAGATATCAATGAGAAACCTTCCTCCTCTACACAGATGATGATTAGTGGCACAAAGAAGGTGTAAAAAGAAGTTGTGCTGAATTATGGGGCAATAAAGCTGTTTAAGTGCTTGTGCGGGGCTGTTATACTGACTACATCCACCAATGATGAAAAACAAGACTGTTGTGTTTAAATTAATTTATTTCCATTGCACACACTCACACAAACACACACACATACATTCTCTGCCAACAGATCTTCACACACTTATAAAACAGTGCACTGTCTCAGACACATGAGGATAAATATATATATATATATATATATAAGAGTTTTCAAAAGAATTGTATACACGTGATAATTGGCACATCCAGGAGACAGGCTTTATCACCAGCTTTGCATGTTTCCTATTTGACAAACAGGCACATTTTGCAACAGATAGAGAGCGCTCAGCTACAATATAAATCCCTTTAAAAATACCCCAAACCAGGGATCCAGCCCCTTTAGTCATAGATTTCTTTTTCTAAAAAATAATCACACCCATAAGAAAAATATCTAGTAAAGCCCACGTTCAATTTAGCTTTGATTTGAGAGGAAAACTGGTGGTAAACTTAACACACACTTAGTGCAATTAGCAAATGTAAGAAGCTTAATTTTAAAAGACTACAGAATGATTTTTAAAAAAAGTCAAATGTACCTTTAAAAAGAGAGCATTATAGTGAGCAATGGCGACATCTACTGGTAAGAATCAGCACCATTTAGCTCTTTCCAAAGAACAGACATGATGCACACAACCTCACTTTCAACAGATTGTTCATATGAAGGAATCTCTTTGGTGGCTGTTTTCCTTTTGTAATTAATCCCAGTATGTTCAAACATTTATAAATAACCTGGTCCTGCTCAGTAGAGCCAGAGTTTAAATAAGCGACTCATTTTTGATCCCATGTTCCTCATTCCTGCATGGATTTCATCCCCAGCTGGCCTGGTGATTGTCAGTTTTTCTTGTCATCTCCTGGTAGGAAGTAGGGGTTCTCGTGTCCTTGAACCAGATAGGAGTAACGGGATGGATTTTTACCCTTGAAGGTCTTCATTCCTTCTGGGTCGAGATCGTACGATCCCGACTGAAATGTCAGTGGAAACAGTCAGTGTGTTAGCGTCTTTCAGATGTAGGGACACATTCACACACAAACACCCACCAACCAACCAACCAGAAACCTCAGTCACCAATGTGCAGTGAGAAAACTAAAACATTACAACTCCCAAACTAGCATCAGATGAGCTTCTTTGAACTGTCACTCACAAGATTAGATTTAGCGTGAAGATGAAAGCGCACAGCTTTCCAACAACAATCAGTGAGATCTCTTACGAAGCTCCCCATCACCGGCAAAACCAAGCAAACGTGATTTTCACTGTGGTCTGTCTAAATAATCAGCAGGGGGCATCAAGGAAAATCAGAATCTGAAAGCAAACCCATGCCTTACCTTTTTCCATCCTCTCTCCTTCGGATGAAACCCCTAAAGCAACACACTGGGAGTCAGGCCAAGCAGGGAGCATGGGAGGGAGCTACTTGCTAGCACTATATATACATTCTGGATGATTGGGTTAAAATATACTGGTGTGAATTGAATTAAGAACATCATTAAAGCATCTAATCTGTATCTGAACTGACAAGACAGGCCCAGTGAGCATGGATTTGTTGATTTGCAGGTCAAATAATGTCACTAACATGTCTACG